TCCTGTATAGGGCTGACGAGGGTAGTGGTCTTTAGAGTCCATGCAGAGCTATGCACTCTGTGAAAGTAAACTTTACTTCTGGATTTGTTTGTCGGCTTGGTTGTTTTTTGGGTTTTTTTCCCCAGTACAATAGGACAAGGAGTTTTTATAAGAAGTCATACTGTGAAGAACCAGAGAAGTTAATCTCTCTTAAAATACCTTGAAACTGTTGTCTATAGATCCTTTCACATGAAGGCTATGCTTTCAAACCCTTGACTATTGTTGGCATATAAAAAAAATCCATCAAAACTCAATCTAGGAGAGCAGAGAGAAGACATATACACAGACTAGTGTACAAAGGTGTATGATTCACTTGTGCTGGCAGAGAAGTTACAGTCTCCAGTTTCCTCTTCAAGGAGGACTTGGGTGTTTTACACTGAGCTGGATCTAGAACAAGGCTGTGGAGGGCTAAAATAGTGAACAAAGTTGTTGTGTTTAACCCCAGCCAACCACCAAGCTCCAAACAGCCACTTGCTCATTCCCACATTAGTATGACTGGGGAAAGACTTAGAAACTGAGAAAAGTCATGGCAGTTTAACAGGGAAAACAAAACCTGCACACAAAAGCAAAGAAAAATAGGAATTGATTCAGTGCTTCCTGTGGGTACACAGGTGTTCAGCCATCTTGGGAAGACAAATGCTGTGGCTCCAAATGTACCCTCCTTCTCCACTTCATATACCAGCATGATATCCCTTTAGACATTTTGGGTCATCTGCCCTGACTCTATCTCCTCACAAGCACCCGCAGACCCCTCACCAGTGTGGCAGTATCAAAAGCAGAAAGGGCCTTGGCTCTTATCTGTTCAGCAATAACAAAAACATCTCTCTATTATTAACCCTGTGTTCAGCACAAATCCAAAATACAGACTGATACCAGCCACCAAAAAAATTAAGATCTACCCCAACTAAACTAAAAATTTAAATTTTCCCCAGCCAAAACCCAGATAGTTTTCTTTTTGGTCCAGTCTTAAGTGTTCAAACAGTGATACCACTTCAACAGTAGGCACCGTCATCCAGAATGCTGCTAGGATGCAATCTGCAGAAGTGGAAGCTGGCTAATCTGAAATTCCTGAAGAACAAAACCTTGATCTGTTTCTCCCTCAGTTGAAGTCTTACCTACTATACTGTTATGGACAGAAGTTGTGCAGGGGTAATTACAACTTGAATTTTGAGAGCAGCACCTTGATTTTGTTGGTCTCTGATTTTGTTGGACTTTTTCTGAAAATACCATCACATCAAGTGGACTTCTGTGAGGACTTTAAGTAGTCTTCTAGATGACAGTTGTTTTTTCAGTGTCTGAAAAGCTGTAGTAATGTGAAAAAGCACTATCCGGACAAGGCAAGAAGGGTAGTACCTCCTGAGTGATTAGAAAAACTACTATTCAGAACAAAACATGCAGAAGAAGATTAAGAATATAAATTTAACAAATCTGAAGTAACTATATGACTTCCTACTGTTTGTTTTATAAAGAAGAAAAAACAACAGCGGAGTAAAGAAACTAATTTCCATTCATGATCTATAGGATGTTTCAAGGCAAGTACATCCAGTGTACTGGCTCAATGCAAGTATTTTTATCTTTTTATTTCTTATAAAAAGGTAAAGATAATTGTACTACTTACTTCCTTGCACTAAATTATTAATCTGTTGAAAAATAGCAAAGTTTATAGAAGGTAAAGGAGGTTTCATGGAAACTGGGGTCTAAATAAAAAAGATATCCTTTAACAATATCTCAGTAGCCTTGAATACCTTGAATTAAAGCCTTATTCCTATGACTCCCAAATGTCAGACAAAGAAAGTCAGCAGTAAGACAAAAACTTACTGATTTCATTAGGTATTTTCCAGAGACTTAATTTCAAATTAATGCAATTCACTGCTGCTAGAACAACTTAGTTTTTGAAAGATGTCCAAACATGAATTTAAAGTAATTTTAAAGTTTGTTTAATACCATACAGGATTCTGCAACAAATAGGAAATACCACTGCATCGATGTTATTGATGACCAAGCACGAACATTATCCAGTTGCCTTCATTAGAGGATTGTGCAGTTTAGAAAACAGTTCAATCTCAAGAAAACTCATAATTGAAAAAGAAATCCAGAAGAAGAAATTTCTTTTAAGAGCAGCAACATGCAGTCAGCAATAAAATAACTCCAAAGCATGTAGGAAGGGGCCATGCTTTTCAACTTTCCTTATTGTAGGAAGGAGCCCAAACTGGACTCTCCAAAGTGACTTTGCTTGTTTCTCCTCAATGCTCATATATACTATCACAACCAGATAAACAAGAGTGAGGTGGAAGCACTTGTGGCTTGCAGGTGGCATGCACTTCCTTGGGGTTCATACCTATAATTAAAACACAAACAGCTTAATTTTGGCATTCTAATCATGACTGACTCTTCCTTTTCCAGAACAATCCTGCTCCAAATGATACTGATTCAGGATGTATGGCTATCAGACATAATAATCCGAAAAACCCAACAGAATTAAGGTGGTAAGAGTAGTGCCTTCAGGCCAGAACAGGCCCCCCCTGGAATTGCTCTCCTTTTTTCCCCCAGTGATTCATGAAAACAAAGACAGTTGTGATGTATTAAAGCAAGTCTAACAGCTGAGGCCACTTGAGCACAAATGACAGAAAGGAGCAGGATGTTTTAGGCGCTTTATTTATTTCTATAACAAATATGATGAATATGGGCAACTTACGCTGTAAACATGTATTTCCCCAAAGTAAACCTTGTCACTCCTAAGCCCCGGTTTTCTTTCACTGTCTTCTGAAGGAAGTTATACCACTCAATTATTTTTATCTGTCACTGTGTTACAGATATGACTGTGCACAGCACATGCAAGCATTTTGATTAATGCACAGGCAGTAGAATAAACTAGCTCTGCAACAAAGAATGAGCATCTTCAAACAAAACCATGCATTTTTTCAAAAAGCAAAAGCAAACAGTAAAAAATAAGGACAATAAAGATGAATAACCCTTAACTCCTTGGTGATTTTTGGCACATTCTATATAGCCCATCTAAATCTATTTCTGGGTTAGACCATCTTTCTTAGAGCCTTTTCCTTAATAAATTTGGTAAATTTCACTGATACTGTGTAATACTGGATTAAACTTACCCCATTTCTGTCACATTTTAGTGTGGAGCCTTACAATAGACTAACATTATTGATCTAAGTTCAAACTTCGGGAGAAAAAAAATCAAATTTAGTTTGGATGGACTAATATATAGCTACCCTATTATGCCCCAAAACTGCTACCTAGACCAGGTGAGGGATTTTGCTCCCTTTAACACTGGCTTTTGATCAAACACCTAGTCAGGAATCTGTCATAAGCACAGAGGTATTGATTCCTAATTCACAGTGGATACGATTAGAGTATTTCCTAATTTTCTAAGATTTATAAGTAAAACTCTTGTATGGTCTGTTAAAACCATTCTCTTGTGAAAATGTCTTTCATAGGATTAAAATGTGGGCTAAAAGGCACAGATGGAAACATGGAAATACCCTTCTTTTTTGGAAGGAAGAGTATCAGTAGACAACAGACATCAAAACATACAAGACTTCTTCAAAATTAAAGGAAGATGGACTTCAGAACTTGGAGGAAACATAGCAAATGCCCTGTTATTCAAAGGAAAAGAAGAAAGTACTTGTGTTCATTTTATTACACTGACCATTAAAACACATCATGTTTGAGACCAGTTACAGACTGTATGCATTGTTAACATGCAGGGGACAGAACCAATTACGGAAGTGACTGCAGAAGTTAATGCACTTTCAGAAGTCGAACTGTGGAAACTGTGCTATTAATTTCTTCTGCATTGAGAAGCTTTTGTCTTATTGTAACAATAATCTAAGTTTAGTTAAGTAGTCTTCAAAATCATATTTGGGATATTATCTCCAGCTGAAATTTAATTTTTAAGTCAACAAATTGTCAATATAGACTTTGGCTTAATTCATTTTTGGATGCCTTTGAGCATTTGTTTTTCGTTCCACAATTAGATTAATGCTAGAAGAATTTCCATCCAAACCACAAAATAATCTGTTTCTAAACAAGATTTCCAATACAAAAACAATTTTTCCAAGTGTGACATCAGAACATTAAAGTATACTAAAACTATATTCCTGGGATATACCATGTTAGAGTAAAGGCATGTGAAAAATCACTCAGTTTTTCAGTACTTATAAGGTCACTTGGATCTACTCATTACAAAAACATACATTAATAATTTTTCTTGCTTTTAGCTTAAGTTAATATTCATCTTAGTAGTGAAATTCTGATTTCAATTATCAAAAAACAAATTATCCTGAATTTCAGAATGTTGAACATGCATGAAAAAGATTCAGGAAATAGCTACATAATTTGTTTCCTCTTTTTCAGAAGCTATCTCTCCTCATACTTTAACACAGTTTTCCCTAAGAGTAAAACACACAGTTAGCAAGTTATGAGCTTACTTCTGAACCTACTACTGATAAAAGCTGTTTATTCCAGAACTTGAAGCAGAAATGGTGAGTTCACTGCCTAAAGGACGGCAAATAAAAAGTGTCTTATTTTTCAAAGAAATTAACTGCCTGCTCCTGATTTCAAATTGAGCTGTGTATACTGAAATGTATTTGAAAATTGTATATATTTATTTATATAATTTATACATTTGTACAAACTTAGAACTACCAATTACTATATCTTTATTGGTTATACTGAGTTTGGTCACTACTAGACTTTTTTAATACAGGTGAAAGTTATTTTCAGACTCTGAATAAACAATGCAAATTCAATATTTCATTATAAACAAGGAAAATATACTACAGAACAATGAATATTTTTAAGAGATAAATATAATATGGGACCAATTGCTTTAAAAATTGCATTTTTTAAAAATCCATTAAATTTTGATTTTATAAGAGCTCATAATCTTATCAATTTTCTGATTATTTAATTATGTTAAAATGCAGTATTACAATCACATTTCAGATATGTAGCTTTAATACCATCTTCCTGATTTCAATGAAGAAATTGCTCTGAGATATTCTGATTTTCTACAAATCTTTATATGTGATAGGTTCTTTAGGCAATTCCAACAAAGTGCTCTGTGTGTCAAGTATGTTCTCTTCTTCACCTTAAAAAAAAATTTAAAAAGGAAAAGAAAAAGAGGAAAAAAAAAATTAAAGCATAAAAAGGGTCAATTTTCTCAGTCTTACACTAGAAAGCAAAGAAGGGAAAAAACTTAAGAAACTGATTTAACCATTCTTGTTTGGACCACATTAGGAAAATAGCTATGTATTTTATAAATAATCTGATGTCAATATACCAAGTTGTCTCTGAGGAATTTTGGATTGGTGGGGTAATTAGGAATCTGAGAAGAAGGTGTACATAAGCTTTAACAAGTAAACTTGTACACAGAGTCACAGATGTATCATATTTGGGCACAATCTTTCTTCGTGCCTCAGGACTAGCCTAAAAGGTGTCAGAATTTGGGCAGCACAGGTCTTGAAGAAGCATTGCTCAAGGCCCACTGCTCACAAAATCTTTGCTAAGGCAGTTACCTAAACATGAAGCATAGCAGGAAAAAGTTTTAGAGTGCAGATTGCTCTGGGTAAGGCTGGAATGAAAACATCTAGGACGGAGAATCCAAAAAACAAAGATACAGACTGAACATCTTACATAGGTTGTGGTAGTCTGATTGTGATACAAGAAGAGATGAAGATTAGGCAAAGAATGCATTTGTTTTGGCTGATGCCATTTGGCACAATGCTAATAATCTTGTTTATCCATGTCTTAAATCCCAGCTTTATGATTCTTATAGCAGTGGTTTGAAACTGTATTTATGTGTGATCAGCCTGACTAAATATTGCAGTGCAGTCAGGATTATGGTCATTCTATAAAACAGGTCTGAGTGCTGACATCTCCCAGCTGTAAGTTTTGTAGTACTACAGTGCCTGGGACCATCAGTAATATCCAACAATGGTTACCACTCCCACAACATCAGTCAGTTGCATATAGCATCTGATTATGAAATAGCAAGGGATCTTGGGGATAGATACATAGATAGACAAATCTCTATGCTTGTCCCTCACATGTACTAGAGGACATTGCCCCACTGACTGCTCAGGATACAAGGACTCAGCTATCTAAATCTCAGAAAAGGTAGCCAGAGCTCCATTGCTTAGTGGAGAAGTTCTGTGCAATTAGAGGCTGGCCATAAAATCCATCCCCTCCTCTAATAATTTGTGTGGAAAACACCAGCATTGTATGCCTGGACTAGGAGGAAAAACAAACAGCAAGGCCAAGAACACAGAACAGCAGGTTGATTGTGTCCTCAGAGGTTTAGAAAAGACAGTTTGACAGTTGTCCTGTAACCCTGACATACCCAAAAGATTAGGTCCTGATACACTGGAAACTTAGGGCTTTCCAACAGCACAAGCAGAACCCGAAAGAGGTATTTCCCCCTGTATCTTCAGTTTTGGGTTTTAATTAGCCCAAGATATAAAGCAGGAAAAAATACCCTTCCAATATTTCAGTGTGGAAGAATACTAAAATAATGAGATAATTTTTGGTCAAGTAGGCTAGAGACAGAAGAAAAAATTAACTGTAAGCAAGATCAGAAACAGAATGCCTAATGAAAGAGAAACAATGAAACCTTTCAGGGGCAAAAAATTATGCCAAAGGATGAAAGGCAGTAGATGCAGATGTTATGTGATTAAATTAGTTTAGATATAAGGTTCACCATGCAGATTATTTTAGGAGAAGGAATTAGCTATGAGGTTGATGACAAGTATACCCTGGAAGAAAAAGATCATTTAAAGTAAGAACAGTAAAGGGAATCATGCATACATTCATTATTACACCAGAGAGATTAAGCACCAACAGAATAAACAGAAAAGCAGAGAACTGGTTGCAAAGGTATGGGAATGAACATGGGGATCTGTTGCGTATTCAGAATAAGCATTGTGGCGGCAGGTCAATTGTGTCATAAAACCTTCTATTCAACTATGTAATTTTAACCGTAAAATAAAAATGAACTCCTGAACTTGATTTCCAGACCAGATTCATCCAGGCTATTCTACTTCCTTTTAATCCAGTGCTGATATTGGTAATGAGTTTAATTTCCTTACTTTTCTTTATCCTATCCTGTAAGTAGGATCTGTAGACCCAAATCTCTCACATCTTTTTACAAAGCTATACAAATTAATCTTCTTTTTTTTTTTTTTCTTATAAGGCAGTTTGTCATTCCCTAATAATTTTAGCTCTTCAGTATAAGTACAGAAGTTCCCTTTCCAGAAGTGATCTGAATTACATGCAAATTTCCACAGGGGTTATTATTTTCCTGCACCTTCCCATCTGTACTCTATTCATACTAAGGTTGTGAAATATGCATCCCTGGATATATTCAAAAGCCTTTTGGACATTTTCCTGGGCAATTGGCTATGGATGATCCTGTCTGAGCAGGGGGCTTGGACCAGACAACCTTCAGAGATTCCTTACAACCTCAACCATGCCATGATACTAGGAAACCTCACTTGGTGTTTCTAGTTGATAAAACTTGATGTTCCAATTTGATGTTAGAAACTTGATGTTTCTAATAGAAAATTTTATTTTCTATTTGGTTCCACAGTTTCTTTTCTGAAAAACATTTTCACAAGCCTTGCATAATGCTGGAGTTCTTCTAACAGATCTAAAGTGCTGCAGATGACTTTTCCTATTTGGAAATCAATAGGATACCACATTGCCCCTCTTCAACCTATACAGGACCACATGGTTCACAGAAAACACATTACATATAAATCCTAAATTCCAAATACTAATTCTGCTCTGTGTGTACTAATCTCCTTTTCAACAGTTTGATTTCCAAGGACTACCCTTTCTTCCCTATGCTTAAGTGACTCTTCATATTAAAATGCAGAGAAGTTTGTTTAATGCTGTTGGGGAAATGTTCACAGGCATGCAATCCTGCATCACCTAAATGTATTTACACCTGCAGGCAGCAGGAACTACAGCATATTTTGTCTAATTAACCTACCACTGTTTTCAGTGAAGCATACAGAGTTAGGAAACCTGTGTGTTAGATCTGGAGGCTGAAGACTAAGTGCTGAAACAGATTTTTATTTTGTTTCAGTATTGTTGTACAGAAAAGACAACCAAGCTAGTTAAATAAGTGAATTTGTGCAGGTGACAAGCCAATGCCTGATGCTGTTTTTACTTACACTCAACATTCACTGAGTCAGTCTCCTGCACTAGGAATCACAGATAACACAAATGCATCTCCATAAACTTCAACAAAATGTATATAATTTAATCACTTAGACAAGGGACAACTGTGAGGCAAGACCCCACTTTCCAGGGCTTACCTTTCTTCAGTCTTTGGAGGACTGCAGTAAGATCATCACCTGATGACTGTATTTGGTCATGAAGGTGTAAGGCCATGATTTATGTCTGTATTCCTTTATATTATCATCCCTAACCCTTTTCCCAGAAAAACAGCAGCGGAGTAGAATACAGAAGTAAATCTATATTCTACACTACATCTGTCATTTCTCCCAGTTACTCGGTTCTTACATCAACTGTGTTTATAACCTTAGAATTCAAATATTTTGAAACATGAAGAGTAAATGATAGCCTTAACTGAAAAGAAATGCTGTAAAAGTATAGTAAGTACCCTTGACTAGCAAAATATCTGACTTCAACAGATGGAAAAAAATGAGACATGCTTCTGTCAAAAATCCATCAAATATCTATTATAAGTTTTCTCCCAGCCATTAAAAAAAAAAAAGTAACAGATTATCTGAAGCTTGATTCTCTGAGAGAACAGGACAGACTTACATACCTTTAATCCTTTGCAGTAGTGTCCCATAGCCCATATCATAATGATAGGAAAATACAAAGCTTAAGGGAAGTACTGGCAGCAAAACTGCTGGATTCTTCCTTTTTATTACTCTGTGCCAGAAAAAAAAATTAGGATATTCAGCACATCAGCACTTGACCTTGACTGTCTAAGACTTGTGTATCCTTCTAAAAATCTTTAATCTCTAATAGACCAAATCTTTATTTCCTCAGAAACATTGGCTTCTGGTTGCCTCCTTTCTCAACCCAAGAATATTTTTAAAATACAGTAGTAATTTTTGAAATTACCTAACAAATATGTGATAATCTAATAATTATGTGATAATCTAGTATGTGATAATCTAGTATGCATGTGCAGTGCCATCTAAACAATGTGGATTCTATGTTCATTTCCAAATGCTACAGAGAAACCATAATGCATAAGGTGCATTTAATCTTCACTATATACACAAAACCGCAAATGTTTCCTGATTTCCTCTAAACAGATTACAGCCCAAGAAAACATTATCAACAAAAAGTACTTTAGGGCAAGTTCTTCCCTATGCAATATAGCTTTATCAGCCAGGTTTCTTTTTTCCTTGGGTCAGTTGATTCAAATTTAAGTGAGTAGACTTGAGAATATGCCCACTTGTTCACTGCATTAAAAAAATTCAGATGGAGGATGTGCGACTCACTAACAGTTCATTAAATCTCAGTACAGACAAGAAAATAGCATGGCATTTAAATACTCTCTCCTCTTCCACATACAACTTTTACTTTGCACTGGACTTCTTGTATTTCAGATATTTTACTGCCATTTTATTGTCAGCTCATGTCTCTGATTTTAAATAAATCTGCAGTAGAGACATAACCAGTGCACATTCAAAGCAAACAGAATTCAGAGTCCATTTGTCATTTGATCAATCTCTGAGCAACCACTAGATAAAAATAACTACTTTTAGTGCAAAACCAAGACCCAGAAAAATAGAAATATATAATGTAACATATTTTCTTTTAGGGAATAAACTTTATACCCAGTTGTTAAAACTACAGCAGCAAGTCCAAAAAATGTCCCAAAATATTTGAGAAATTCTTGTGTCCAAGCAATCTGCATGGCTGTTTGTCTCTCTCTCATCAGGTTCTGCAGTGCTAGTTGCCTTTCCAGCTAAAGGGAGACTAGTTAAACAAAATTAAGTCATCCATTTATTTTAAAGATTAACTAAATCTCACAGTGGTCTATAAATCCAAAACACTAACTAAGAAGGCAATCTTTCATGGCTTTTGATTGAGAATGGCCTTCTTCAGTAATAGATTCTACCAAAAAACATTTAGGTCAATTAGCAAATGTTTTTATGCAGAAACTTTCTCATTGTGCTTCTCAAGGTCCAGACAACTAAAATTGAAGTGTTAGGTTTTGAGTGGGACCCAAGTCTCAGGAGGACTCTCTAGATTCTCTGACCTTCGCATTTCCATGCGTGATAAATCCATGGTGATTTATAGAGTACCTGCTTCCCCAATTCATTCTGCTTAATTCTAATTTAGTCGTAATAATTTTAGAGTCAATCTTGACACCTCTTTGCCCTTTGAGGATTTCCTCTTCCTCATGATGCATAATAAAGCTAATAACTCTTCTGCAATACCACAGTTGCAAATACAGAAAAGCACTGTGAAGACAACAGATCTTTTACAGATTATGAATACATATCAAAAGTCCACAAGGAAATACTTCTGTAACAAAAATTAAAAACAGTAAAAAAGTACAATCTAGTCAATATAGTCACATGTCCAGGAAGAACTTTCTATGGTACAGAAGAATAAAAAAGCAGATTATTAGATTTATTTTTTTTTAATTACATGTCCCATCTAAACCTACTGGTATATTTTCATTAAGCAAGGTAAATTCACTATTTCTCAAAAGTTTCTCTCAACTATACAGAACACAAAAAAAATTCCTTTGAGTGATGAAAAAATAATAATTTTGCCAAAATAAGCAGTCTCAAACCAAAGTGGAGAAGTTAGTTAACAGAACAAGAAGTCTTCTTCACAGCAATGTTTATAATTCATCTTGTGGGGAAAAAATTGAACACCTGGGTTTGTATGTTTAGGCCAGCTAACCAAGCTGGATGAGAAGTTCAACAAGGTACAGAAAACAGAATACCAGCTGCTTAAATGAGTGTATTCCAGGGAAGAAAGAACAAAGACTGAATTCAGAAAGTTTTCTTTTAATGAATCTCTAAATGTAATTAAATATGTTCTTTTCTCCTGCTTTCTAATTCAAGAATAATTTAAAGGATTTGTAATTACTTAAGGTTTCCACCCATTTATTCACCTCCCTTACTATTGATTTAGCCTGAACAGAACAATTTCTGTTAAATTGTTACTAATTATTTCTTCAGATTATGTTGATATTGCTATCTTATTTACAAGTTCATTCAGTACCTAGATAGGTAGAAATAATTTTGAGACAGCATAATGAAAAAGGGACAGATCTAATTACATATAATTGTACACAGTAGGAAAAACAACATTCACTATAGTCTCACAGCACTATTTCATCTGTTTCTCTTCCTCAAGACTTACATTTCAATTGTTGTTCTCACAAAAAATATCAACAGGCTTTACCTTTCTGATAGCCATAATTTTCAGATTGCTTTGTTTTGATTTTCTTTTTTTAATAAGAAATAATTATATAATGGCTGACAAACCACTTAATAAAATATCAAAATAATTAGATTTTATTTTGTTACCTACAAGACAGTTGGAAATTCTAAAATAAACAAGTACACTGGCATTAATTACACCCATTTTGGTCCCAAATATCCTAAGCCTGGTAAATTGCTGAGGGCTGACGTGATAAGATAAAATAATGACATGTAATATCCATTTAATGACTATATTTTCATCTTTAGGGTGATTATAGATGTAGTTTCCACATATGTGAAAAGTATTAAGAGATCCTTTGTTTGCCTGTCAGCAACAGATAAGGACCTGTGCTTCCAAGATGCACAGTATTACTCTAAATGAGCTTCAATTTGAAGAAGCACATGGTAAGGAAGTGGGACAAGGATTGTTGTGCAAAAAGGGAACAATGGAGAAGAAGAAAAACAGACAGTGTAACATGCCCAGTGTTTAGAAAGAAGCAAGTATAGTATAAAAAGAAGGCTGTAAGTTCAAACTTACAAAAGTAAACTAAAGGATCTAACGTGATAAAAACAAATACACACACACAAAAAAAACCCTGAAAAAACCCCAACAAAAACCCCCTCACACTAGTTATATACTTTGACAGCTCTTTAAAATCCAAGTGCTGAAAGAAAAATATAAGTCACAAACAATAAATTTAAACACCATACTGCAGGAGACTGTCATATCAACTTCCAGAAGCCCAAGGGTACTTCCATGTATGTCTACAAGTAGTTCATATAAATAACCTACTATAATTGAAAATGACTTGTTTCTATATTATAGACAGCAGCCAGATAACATTATCAAATATTTTTCATATTCTTTTTAAACTAGATGTTTTTTCTTTCACTTGAAAGAAACAATCCTCAACTTTCTCCATCAAAAAAATAAGTGGTGGAATAAAATGTAAAGAAAAATGCCTGTAATTCCTTTTCTTTGAGCAAGCTTCTTCTATGTAGATGTAAAATTTAAACCAGATGAAACATAATACCATATTTAAGTTAATTTCTTTTAAAAAGATATGTTAGAGGGAAGTTTTAGAATTATGAATCTTATGAACATTCTCTTTTTACATGGCGAAATGTGACAGCCAAGGAGCAATGGTTTCTGAGGAATACTAATCCACAGAAGGGAATAAAAATAAGGTCTAGTGGTATTTGGCTAAAAGAATAATTTAATTCTTACTGTTATTGAAGTTTTATGATATGACAATGAATAGTTTACAAGACCTATTTTGTCCATAAACTTACAATGTAAGTTGAAAGCCTTGAGATGAGTGTTGGTGATCCTAAGTAAGCTACAGTACTGATGCAGAGATTTATAAACCAATTTTTATTTAGTCATAATTTATACAGAACATGAACATGTGCTCCAAAACACCTTTGAACCTATATGCCAAACTCAGGATAATGTCTCTCAAATGCCAGAAGTTCCTTTTGTTCTGTACTCCTTTATTCCAAAATAATCTTCATTCATGCTTTCCATTTTCAAGATCAGTTTTGTTACTTGTCATAGTTTCATCTTGCAAAAGAAAAGGCTACAGTACTGTAGCTGTTAGGATTACAACAGGAATCTGAGTAATGAAGAGAATTGGTCTAAGTGTTCTAAGTGTTCCAGGGCAATTCCACACTGATCCCACTGGATTTCAAATTCTCCTTAAGGAAAAGGAAAAATTGAACAATTATGGCCAAAGTTGTCCTACTAAATACTGTTTCATCACATGACTTAAACTTAACAGAATAACTGTAGAAAACCAGTTTGGAGTACACCTGAGCTCTTTTCAGCGAGCTCTGTAGCCACTGTATAGCACAGCAGGGAACACCTCTCTGGCATATTCTGACAAAGCCAACAAAAAGCAGGGCACGTGCCTATCCTGTGCAACCAGAAACTGCTTTAGCATGTCCAGACCTAACATCTGAACAGTTAAATAGGTTTAAAAGCAATGCTTGACTGTAAAAGAGTATATACCTTTAAATAAATTTTGGATGCTCTAAGTGTCAAAATGAAACACCTACATGGGCACTCAGGTAACTCCTCTAAAAAAGTCTTTTAAAAATTAAAACAATTGATGTACAATAGCCTTATGCTTATCCATTTAACATGACAGTCTTAAATTAATATCTGGAGCTTGAGTAGTTTTGAATGACCAAGATATCCTGATGTGCTGGCCTTAAACTGCCAAACAACTAGATCTTGGTAGATCTTAAGTCAAAAAACAGTGCCTTAAGCAACTGCCTTAAGTTGACCTTAAGGAGTCAGGATTTGAAAATATATGTATATAGGAAACGACTCAGGACTCTACCACAAAAAATAACTTGAAATTAGATGAAAGAAAACCAAACCATATTTGACTGCAGTTCAAATCAATATCCCATTTTCAGTTGTTAATTTCCTAGTACTTGTGTCTTATTTTCTTCCACATGTGTTCTATTGAAAATGTCAGTCACACTGGGATAGTGAAAGACTTTTGATCCATTAACATGCAGATTTTATTAAAAACATGAAGTCCTACTGTCTTAGGACTTACTTTACAATAATTTTGAAAATTACTTCTTTTCTTATTATGGCAGAACAGAAGTAAGAATTAAGAACAGTAGGTATTAATTTTTACTGAAAAACATTTTATAAAATTTTATAGGTAATAGGAAAAAAAAGAAAGTATGTAGTTCAGACTTAGAGGAGATGGGCAGTAGTTTAGGTAGAAAAGTCTTACTGATGGGAGAACCTGAGTATTGAGAAAACAAGCCACAGGCGCACATCACAGATATCAGCATTCAACATTCAAGTGCCATGTCTTAGGGAACAAATTCTGCTTCATGTTAAGTACACAAATGGCCCATCTACATAGCCATAAAAACTTAAATAGAAATTATTTATGTGACCATCCTTGCACTAAAAACTACAGATAAACCTGAAGTGTAGCTTTAGAACAGGAGGAAGAGAGATACTGTAATTTTCCTAGCCAGGTTGCTGTATATAGCACAAGAGAGCTGAAGTTGATATGTGGATACATGGGTGCACATCCAAGCATGCCTTTCAAATACTTGTATCCTAACAATCAGACCATGATTTTATAGACACAGTTAATATAATAATAAAGAAGTCACAATAGCAATTCCTATACTGGCAAAAAATATTGATTGCATAATTTTAAAAATTAAGTATAATATTTCAAAATAAATTAGTACTAGTAGCAAGTGACATTTTAAATTTTATAACATTCTCAAGAGGACCCAATTACAAATAACTTTCCCATTATTTTTAAAATACAGCTGGTAGTTTCTCAACACTGTGAGCAACTGTAAGGGCTGATTGGGATTTTGAAGTCTGCCACACAGAAACTGTTAGAGTAAAAGGAAATCAATGTTACGAAATGAATCATGACAGATGAAGAGAAGTGAGGCACAGAGGGAAAAGGTCAGTACTGTGAAACTGATAATGCTAATAAACTAGTCAGTGGTAACCATCCTTATCATTTCTACTGATTATTCTTCAGACTGCGACAATGATGTCAAACCACACAAAAGAGCATTTATACCATCATTTCATTGATTAAAATCCAGTGGGAGAAAATTCTCATCTGAAATAATTTAATCGACTTTGACAACTTGCAAAAAAACCCTCTCTGGATTACAAGTCACATCTTCACTAGACTAGAAATTTCTCATACTTTAGACCCTTAGCTTGTTTTCTCTCTTCCATGTTCAGATGCTGTAGATGGAATGGATGATACTTTGGTTTTGGTTTTGTATCCCCAAATGGGATGGAAGGTGGTGTAAAAATACTCAATAGAAATTAAAGGC